TTTTATATACCTGAGTGTGCTGATTTTGGCAACATGAAGAGATGATCTAGCCCACCTTAATATACTGCAATAATATTCTGGAGGACAACCAAATTATTGCAGTGGAAGTTGCCCCAGGAAAAACTTGAGCAGTGTTTCACAAGAGTTGAAGCGAGAGGAGGGGTCACAAGGGATCTCTTGCATCTTTGTATGGGTCATTTTTCATGTTGTGTTCATCAGTCCGAAACTTCTTTTTAATTTTGAGGCATGTAAAATTCTGTATTAAATTTTCCACATAGCAGGTTCTCTCTAAGATCAGAAAACTTGTTTAACTTTTTCCATCTCTAAACTCTAGTCTAAGCTAGTCATTCTGGTGTTCTTTATAATTAATTCAAGCAGACAGGTACCTCTAGTTTTCTGCTGTTAATGTCTGGGGACTTTCAAGCACTCTCCTTCTCTCCCTCACAGAGGTCCACGGTTCAGCAGGGCAGTTGGTGCCTCCTCACCCACGCATTATGTTGTGAGCAGTAGACAGCTGAGAAACCTTGAGTTTACTGACACATGAAAGAACATGATTTATACAGAAACAATTTATACAGAAACAATAAGCTTGACATTGGCCAAACTGTCTAAAATGACATGTTTGACCACGGACTGATTCAGCGTGGGTATAAAACTAGCCCATAGATCTTCTGAGTTTGAGTCATGTGTCCCCCTGGAAGAAGTGGGTCTGCGGTCAAGGACTCTCCCCTCGGGACAGGTAGGGATGGGATGGGATGGGATGGGATGGGATGGAATGGGATGGGATGGGATGGAATGGGATGGGATGGCTCCCGAGATAACTCCTTGAGGTTGAGAGCCCTGAGCCATTCCGACAGATGTAAAACAGAGATTTACTCCATCTATTTCTTTCCACTGATGATGGAAAGCTGACATTTGGTTTTGCCCAGGCACTGATCTTTTAGAGATTATGTTGGATGAACTTCATGCTAATATTTGCCACTGTGGGAACAATCTACACGGCAGAAGATTTTCCTTCCAGGAAAAGTAATTACACTCAGAACTGAAGTATATAAATCATATCCTGAGTAGTCCCAAGTATCGTCTTTTTTTGTATATATGTACTATTAAAACTCTAGATATTCTTGTCTTCCATATAGAAGTATAATTTATATATATAATTTATATATTTAATTTTTCATTTACTTGAGGCATTAGCTCAATGCATTGATAGGATGTGTGCGATCAAAACAAAAAGAAATGTAAGATAACTGAGAAATTCCTGAAGTCACATGGGATTTTTCCATGCCAGTGTGAGGAAGAATCATGTCTCTCTGAGATTCAGAAACACTGGCATAATTATCCCCAGCTTTCAATGTTGACTTAAGTAGTTATTACACAGAAATTAGTATTACCTGTAAATGCTCTGTCTGATGGTTCTAAACAGCATATACTGAAACAAATAATTTGCTTGTTGAAAAAATGCATTTACTTCTTGAGGAAGCTGTACCAATTAAGTGGAACAGTGCAGGTGCAACTCAGCAGGTGAAATATCATCAGCCCATCAAGAATATTAATGTACTTTATCACCTACTGAAATACATATAGAAAGTATGCCAGATTTTCACATAAAACAGAGTTTCCTACTTACCAAGTTGCCTAGTACAGCATCAGTATCGTTAACCTGATTATGAAATAAATGCCAGTGGGTAAATTAAACCTGTTAGTGAAGAACGCTTCAATAATTGTATAAATGAATAAATATGAACTGAACTTCTGCTTGTGACCTGTAGAAGATAAATAAAAATAAAGTATAATATAAACAGCATCAACTACTGAAGCAGACACAGTGGGGGGACCAAACAAGCATCCTACCAGATTTTTATATTTCTGCCTATCGTAAAGCCACATAAATGCTATTAGGCAGAGTTAAACAGATTTGAAGAATGTAGATTACATTTTCAGTATTTATTTCCATTGGTATTTTTTTCCTCTTGTCTGAACATTGTCAAAAAATCTTTAGGATGAATTTTACTTATAACTGCCTGAAAAATTTACATAGCAGCACAAACCATATGGATTTGAAAATCAGTAGTGAGGAATAGGGGTGTTAATTCATATCAACATGGCAATAACTATTTGAAGATGGAGTTTTGAGTGCAACTAAGATTTTTAATTAGGTACCTAGGATAAAAAGGTTCAGTAACAGAACATTTGAACACATGACTGACCCATCTTGGCACTCTATAATGCATAAAGAATGTCTGAAAGAGTAAAGATGTTGAGGGTATTTTGTTTCAAAAAACTTTACTTTTATATACATGTATTTGCCCACATGTCTCCCAAGTAAATATGTATATTTTTCCTCAAGAATTTCAGGAATGTGGATCTTGTTAATGCTGTTGGCTGGCGTCCCGGCAGCTTCAGGCTTGTGTGAAATCTTGCTGCCCTGCTCAGAAAGCCCAGGGGCTGGTGTTGCAGCAAGGCGAGCTTTCCCCATCGGATTGTTCCTGCTGATACTGATTTCTCTCTGCTGACCGCGAAGTCTAGATGTCCTACATAGTTCAGGTGTCTAATTTTATATAACATTGTGGCAGAATGCCATACTAACTGTGTAGAAATCTTTGATTGATTATAAATTTAATCCCAAAGAGATTCTGCTTGTTTTTGTCCTACAACCTTATCAAACCACACCAAAGCAAACCGAAAACCAAAAACCAACCAACCAAAAAACCAAGAAAACCTCCAACACTTTGGAGGCAAATAGATCATGCAAACAGGGAATCTTTTCTTACCAAAACCCAGAGGAATATTTTTGTTCGGCCTAAATAATAGGCCACTCTTAAAAAAATGCATAATTTAAATTGGAAAACTGAGTGAACCTAAAATGACTTTTCAATGACTGTATGAACATAAATTTAAAATTATGAAATAGAGTAATTTTCAACATAGGTATGTCTAAAACTCATCTTTTATGTTTCATCCATTTTAGAAGATTATTACAGGGCAGCAATTTTCTTTTAGTAAGGATTGTAACCAGTCACCTTTCATTATAAAGCCCTATTTTTTTTCTCTATGTACAAAGTTAGTTTTGCCTGAAAATTGACAGATTTATGCCAACTACTACCTTTGTGCCTGCAGTGCCCAAAGAAATGTCCTATGAAACTTCAGTGCAAGCAGTGCTGAATATTCTTTGTAGCCCTTTATGCTTTGTATAGTTTCTGATAGTTCCAAAGAACTGACATAAATCATTGTTATAAACATGATGACTGGGCAGTATTTTGCACTCATTTTGTGCTAATTTGCAAATACAAATGGTTAAAATTTATAGTGATAAACAAAATCTATAAGTGGTCTCTATATTTTTCTCAGGAAGACACCTTTGTATACCAACAATTAGATGTCTGGTTAGAAAATAAACTGCTTGCTCTTCTACCACAAAACTTCCACTAAATAAATAAATGTACAGATCCTTTTGCTTTGTGGATAGAACTTTGTGTCTATTATAAAGCAATGATTGTGTACTCAAAGACATATACATTAATACATATCTATATAGCTTGGGAAATGAGAGGGCAGATACAGGGTGAGCAGATTAATGTTCCATGTGTAACTGTAGTGCTAACATCTCCTCTCTCATATTGCAATCTCAGCATTTTGTGCAATTTATTGGTTGTAGTTTTGTAAATTAAATTAAGTATACAGAAAAAAAACCCAGAAATTCACCCCTTTCTGAGTAATCAACAAAGTGGGAGTAGGTGCCTCTTAACAAGTGCTGAAGCTTGAAGCTGTAGGAATAACTATTAGAAACAACAAGCTTCTGTAAACTGAGACTAGTAAAATAAAATCATCATTTCTTGCAGAATAACTGCATCTTTAAACACTCAATTAAAGATTTCCAATCTTGAATCTCCAGATATTGAATGTTGAAAAACTCATTATATTTCTGGGTGGGTTTTGCAATGATTAATTGATTAGCACCCTTGGTAAATTCATGTCTTGTTCCCTATGGGAATTTACACAGTTTCTCTTTGTTGAATCTTGTTATGAATGAAGTGCCATTTTTTCTCTGGACAGGCACTTACAGACTCTGATCAAATCACCTCCTAACCTTTCTATTGACAAGAAAAATAAACTAACCTGCTTACATCTCTCGTGCAACCAATATGGCCAGAATTGCAAACATTCTTTTTTTTTTTTTTTTTTAAATTTTCCAGTAGCTTTTTGAAATGTTGGCATGAGTAAGAATTTCATAAGTACTACGACTCCTGATTCCTTCTTGTTATGTAATTCCACTGATGTGTAGTTCCACTGATCCTACAGCCAGAGCCCTGGAACAACAGCCCACTCTGATGACTCATCTTGAGCTGATTATCCATGATGAGCCATCTACCATTTCCAAGGCCACAGAATTCCTGCCATCCTTTATCTTGTGTGTGGCTTGTGTTCATTTATCAGTATTTGGCCGTATGTGAATATAAGTAAGCCTAAATTACTGTTGTGACTCAGTTTGTTTTATAATTCATCCTCATAACTGGTTACTATTCTAGCTTTTTTTTTTTTTTTTTTTGCATAAATTTTGAAAGCAAAAAGTGTGTATTTTGTTCCATGTTTTCATGAAAATATGGAACGATAGTGGAGGAATAACAAATTCCCTTGGAATTTCATTGAGACTACCCACATTGGATACTGATTGTCTATCTGCGAGTTTTCAGTTGTCTCAGACATTTTAGAATTATTTTATACATTTAATACATTTGTATTAATACCTGTTCTTTTATCGCTGTCATTGGACAATTCTCAGCTGCTATAAATGCACATAACTTCATTAGGAGGTGAGCTAGCTGTGAATACCTTTTGTTGGTGAAAATATCAGATGAATTGTTCTGGTGACCTGTTCAGGTGAATTATAAAGCAACTATTGCGGTTTTATTGCTTTGCATTTTCTAAATTAGTATTTTGCCATTTTTTAAATGTTTTTTCTCATCTTAAAATAGCCAAAGATGGATTTTTTTCCAATTACTCTGTTTTACTTCAATGTCATATAGAAAATAGCCATTCTACATTGCAACATAATATATTTTATATATAAAAAAATGTACATTATCTTAATTTTGTTTAAATAGTATTATAAACATAAGTTTCAAGAAGAGTCAGTCCTGGAGTGATGCAGTCTTTTTTTATTTATAGTTCCTTTTGTTATCCCTGCTGTTTGGTAAAGAATCCAGTTTGGATTCTAGAAACATTCTTCTGAACCTCTGAATTCGGTTCTTGTCAAAGCGAAAAATAACTCCCATATTCTTTCTCTTTAATTACGTCCCCAAAGCTTGGCCAGATAAAATCCTGTGTTGAGCTGTCCAATCTGGATGTGATTTGACATCATCCACTTCAGAGCTCGTCTTCGTCTGATAGGGCATCAAGGTAATCCGTATCAACATATAAGAGAAATCCAGAAAACAAACTGTCTGCCCATGTGGGATCTGCAAAGAGACCGTTTTGGTCAGTGTAGAAGATCTCAAGCCACACTTCGTCTTCTGGCTGAAGATAGATCACTGTGGATCCCGAAGCTACGTCATGGTTTCCCGTGTTTGCATCAAATGTCTTTATCCGGTACTTCCCGTTATGAACCAGCCCAATTGCAAGATGCTTATTCGCTAAGGTGATGTCATAAGAAAAATAATAAATCCCTGGGATGGCACATATAAACTTCCCTGTGGAAGGGTTGTAATGCTCACCCTCATTGAAGAGGACTTTATTGAACACGATTGGTAATCTTTCCTCTGGGTAGCTGGTGGTGATGCCAACAGAAAAGGCGGATTTCAGAACTATCTTTCCACATTTACAGACCCCTGGTGCACCTGGCTCTCCTCGGTCTCCTTTATCTCCCTTAGGTCCAGGTGGTCCAGCTGGACCTACTTCACCTTTGGCACCAGTCAATCCTCCAGGTCCTTTTTTACCAGACTGACCTTGGTCTCCTTTCTCTCCAGCTGGTCCTAAAGGCCCAGTCTTTCCTCTTAAACCTTCAAAAACATTTTAAGTTAGTTAATCATTACGTAGATCATCTCAGTAAATGACTATGTGGGCTATGATGTGTGTCTGAACAAACAAACAAAAAAGGATCAGAATTTCAAAATATTTCAAAAATACTTTCAAAATGCTGCCGATAACTTTGTGACAGGAATGGCAATTGAAGCAATTGGACTCTGCAGCCCGTGAGTCTGTTACTTATTTCTACGTGCCTAGCTTTTTTCATGCTCCTTGATTGCACTTACTAATTATATACATCTGCATTTTTTTTTCACCTTGAAAGTGTTTAAATGTAATCACTCCTTTGCTAATTGAAGTATTGACAATGCTGATGTTTTGGAAAGTTAGCAGCATGGTAACCTATATGATGGTCCTTATGTACAAGATATTTCTTACTACTTGAGCATTTTGCAGTGTACCATAGGACTTCTTAATCTTTTATTTCAGGCTAAGGGCACAAATTAAACTAATTATTTGACACCCCTGCTGCCACACATATTTTTTCCCCCCCCAATCGTTTTGTTAGCATTTATGCAAAGCAAGACTATGTGTTTATATTTATTTACATATACTTCAATATATGTAGATTAGACCTATCTAAATATATATAAACATGTCTTCCTTTTGTGTATATACATGCATACACGCAGGCACACAGATCCATACACACATTCATCTTTTATATCGTTATATAAATATCTGTAAGAGTAATGATGAAAAATCTCTATTTGTCACACTACTGCATTAATTTACATGAATATTCAATACCTGCAGTCCCTTTTTCACCTTTTTCTCCCTTCCTGCCATCTCTACCATCTCTTCCTGGAAGACCAATACGTCCATGTGGCCCTGGGGATCCATTAGCTCCGGGAGGACCTGCAGGGCCTGGCAAACCAGGTATGCTACAAATGTATCTCGTGTAGTAATTTTCTCCTTTGAACTGGCTTTGAAGAGGCTGTTCACTTGTATATATGGCAAAACTTGTAATGTAAAGCAACACAAACATCCTCGTATCTGGAAAAAACACATAAGGCAATTTATGCATATTGTAACACTAGTTTTTAGGCAGTCCTGAACATAACGGTAAGACTACAATGTGTTTTGCACATATACACACATAGGGAGATCAACCTGGGATGTCTGAAATAGCAGCATTAACGTTTTGAATCTCTGTATGAAGAAAAGAGGAAAGTCTGTCATGTTGCAGCTTTTCTGAGTCAGTAGTATTTATCACTCTACGTCTTCCAAATAACCTGTAAAATGACATAGTATACCTGGCTTATTTGGACCACATTTTGACACTTTCTAAAAACAACGTGGATTTTTCAGTGCAAAGCCCCTTGCTTGCAAGAGTTTATTTTGTCTTTTGACTTGTGTAAGCTTTACTGAGCAAAAGACTTTTCTGGGATGGTGTTGTACCTGTCCTTGGAAGACCTGCAAGTAGGAATTACCTTTTATTTTAAGGAGAAACCTTTATTTCACTTTGAAGCTTTCATGATTGTAAATAATTCCCCAACCTGAATTATTTCTGAAAGCAGAAACTTTCTAGGTATGTCAAAAAGGTGCCAGTAAGAGACCCACAGCTTCAGTATTTAGTAGCAAACCCCTTTGATCACAGCACCAGTAACTGCTTCCATCAGTCAGGTAGAATCAGACAGCAGCTCTGTGGGTAATGGATGGAGGATGAATGAGCTGCTAATACTACTTCCAATCTGGCTTGGAGTGCTGTAGGAAATGAGCTGTGTTGCAATATCTTGCAAAAAAATAGTTCCTTAAAGCCTTATATTTCAGCAGCTGTCTGTTTTCATAAACAATTGAATGTAAGTTGGATTTCTCTGTTGCCCCAATGGGGAAACAAAGAAAAAAACACCCTGTACAAACAGTAACCTGCTGAGGAGTTACAGTACCTTATATACAAAGATGTCTTCAATTAGTGTTGCATTAGCAGTGAATCAGTCGTAGGTCTGGTGAAATTCTGCAAGTCGTTTTTTCCAATTTTCTTGCTGGACTCTCAGAAATTCTCCAAGGGTTTTCTGTTAGTGCTTTCCATTTCTTCAGAACTAATTTACGGCATGAAAGGAAAACAAAATCCACAGGTTTCTGTGAGAAGAGGAAGAAGTAGAATGGGGAATTCAGAAAAATATCTTTATAAAATACCATCTGACTTTGTTACAGTGAAACCCAAATTCATTCTCAGAGTCACCGTTAAAGAAGTTGCAAAGAGGATCAGCCTAGAAAGCCATGTTTTCATTCTCATCTCTGTTATACTGACTGGCATTCACTGGAAGATTTAGCACCCAAACAGTTAAATTTATCTGCACTTCATGAAATTTCATACAGTACATGCTAAGGGCAGATCTGTTTAGAGGAAAAACATCAGCAATTAAATATACACATACAAACTCTTTAGCAAAAAGCTTTTCTATTTCATAGAATAGAAAATGAAAGACTGTGTGTTGATATCATGCAGAAAAAAAAGCATGAAAATATTTTAGTACCAGAGAAATAAGTCATGTTCCAAAATTATATTCTTCTTTTCATATTAAACATCTCATATTGAATTGGCACAATCTAAACTATTAATTTTGCTGTCATTTGATAAAGGCTTACAATATGAGCAGGCACAACAGCCCTCTTAAGAGTGGATTAACATATGAATGCTTACCATTGCCGGAGAGCAGCCAATGATTACGCCAAGCAAGTAGTTAGTTCAGGCATGAACTTCATAGCAGTATTTGCTCTGATATACTGAATGTGTTACCCCAGTAAAGCTCATGGGATCTAAATCAAGGGCAACAAACCTTCCTGCATGGGAGAACAATTTCAATCATCCAGGCAGGAGGGAGCTGCCTGGAGGGAATTCATGCCTCACACTGCATATATATATTACACAAAGCTGGTGGATAGGAAGCAGAGGCAGCCTAAGAATCAAGGACTGGAACAAAAACTGCCCTTTGCCAGATGAACGTCTGAACAGTAGGCTAGATATTCCCACACTGTGTTGCTCATGAGCCAAGCAAAAACAGTATCAACAACTGCTGTTTTTGCCTGTAATCTTTTACAAATCAGAGTAAAAGCCTTCACACAGCTGCTCCTGTTACAGCCTGGCCAGTAACTTCTTGTACCCGAAACAAATTAGTCTGGGACATGTGTTTCTTCTGCTAAGGCCATGGGAAAATGTCATGTGGGAAAGGTAAGGAGAATTGGGTTACAAGAGAGAATGTACCTTGGATGGCTGGGTAGCTGTGGCTGGGGAAACAGTTTGCAAGGAGGAAATCGTAGGGATTTGGAAAATGAAGAACAGGAGTTAAGGTCTTGGTTTGGAGAGCTGGCAAGTGTGTTAAGAAGTGACGGGCCTGTGAGACAGTGGGTGAGGAATGCAGGAAGAGGAACAGATGGAGGATTGGGTGGAAATGGTGCTCATGTTCAGGTGATAATGTTTACAGTCTTGAATTTAGGTTGCTTTCAGTGGTGGTACCTAAAGAAATGGCACTAGGCCACTGAGTCAGGACCTCTCTTGCCTCTTGCATTTCTTGCTGCATAATAGTCCAGCTTTAAAAGGAGGGGTAGAATATCCGTCTCTTCTTTATGACAGCAGTCAGTCAAAGCATCTACTGGATGACCATGCTAGTCTGAAGCTCATCATGCTCATCAGTTTTAGTGATCAGTGATTTCTGGAGCAGCTTTTCTAAAGGGAAGCTTGATCTGTGCCATTACTGTCGTCATAACCTTACCCAAGCAGTGGAATCACCGCCTTTGTGTACAGCCCAAAGATCATCTGATTCTTTCAACAAGTGATGGTTGCTCCTTCCTCCTACCCCCAATGTGTTCTCTCCCCCTCAACCTGAGCTCCCTGTAAACTGCGTGTAGGTGGGGGCTAACTGCGCACGAGCCAACTAAATGCAGATGATGACGATGAATCAATCATCTCCCTCCCATAATTTGGGGGAGAGGGGCCCCTAGAGCCCTTTGAACTCTCCTGCACAGCAGTGGGCTGCACTGCAGAACCTCCTCTTGAGCAGGGGCGACTCTGGAGGTTTCTCCCCAAAGCTGAGAGATTCTTTACATGTGACAGATCCTTGGTAAGTGATTAACAGCATGCTAAAACCTTTGGGAAACTTTGCTAAACTCTGTGATTCATTGTGCACATAAATGCTTAGACAGAAACCATTGACCAGGTCTGGGAATAGGATTCGATCCAGTCGCTCCAAGACTCCTCTCAGAAGGGATTTGGAGAGCAAGGGGGTCCATTCCAAACCTCACAACTCAACAGGGGGGTCTCCCTGACACTTGTGAACAACTGCGTGGATCTTGCCATTAATCTTTGTTAAATTATTGTCTATTTACAATCAAATCCCTATCTGACATCAATAAAACATATTTCTGCTTATAGGAGAAGTGCATCTCACTCATCTATGACACATCAGAAAAATATTTTAAAAGCTATGATGATCCTAATGTGTTGTTTCAATCTGTGAACATGACAGACCTGCCTTGAAAACTGAATCTGTATATCGTGTTGCCATCCTTTGTGATGAACAAACTTTAGTTTCATGTCTTTAGGAACTCTCATTGAACTACCAATACACTCAGGCTATGCCATTAATTTTTAAGCTTAAGGAATTGCGACAATTTTGCAGCTTTTAGCCGTTCTAGTATATCATCAAATAGTCTTCCCTTGTTCAGCTATACAGATTGTAATTCTAAAATTTAATCGTTGTCTCTTTGAAACATCATAAAATATTTTCCCTGAACTTTTTGTAAATATGGGAGTCAAAATCCAGTATTTATTAGTCACAGCTGTATGCTTTGTTACATGTATGTTAGCTTTGAGTTCACTATGTCTATACATATATACACAAGCATTTGAGGAGGCTAAGAAGACAAGTTTTAGCCAGTAGAAACACTGGTAAACATTTCTAAGAAAACAGTCTGTTAAAGGCCTTATTAGCAGTGATGACATTTATTGCTGTCACTCACTTAAGTTTGCACTTAGGTTTGAACACTCTGACCATAATAAAACACTTTCTCACTATGATGGTGGTTGAGCACTGGAATAGGTTACCAAGGGAAATTGTGAAGTCTTCATCCTTGGAAATATTAAAAACCCAAATGGACATGGTCCTGGGCAACCTACTGTAACTGACTGGTGGAGCAGGGCGAGTTGGAGCAGGTGATTTCCAAGAGTCTCTTCCAACCTCAACTCATCTGTGAACAGTCACCTTCATAACTAGGGGTACTGCGGTTAGATTCTTCAACCAAGTCTCAGCTTAAAATCAAGACCAGGAGTTCTATGTGGTTTATTTTCAAAATGTCAAAGCCGTGGGTGTAGTTTTCTTTCTCAGTTTCTGAGTCCAAACATAGTCTTTCTTTCTGGTTCCAGCTGTTCCCCTTATTTAGCGAGTTATTTATATTAAACCTGTCTTAGAAGGTGATCAAGGCATATGTAAGTGAAATATTCTGACTAAGCTAGGGGGAATTTTGACACGTGAATTGGCAAGTGAAACAATTTTACTGCCAACTCTGTTAGAACACATAAGTAAATGAAATGTGACAGAAGTTGTCTTGACAGAGAGCTGAGAAGCTTGGCCAGTGGCTGTTTGCAATGACATACAGACAGCAATGAGTTTGCTAACTATTTCTTCATTGGTGAAAGGTGACCTTGACTTAACACTGGAAGACTAAACAAAGCAATTATCCTGCAAGTAGAATATGGACTTCTGTAAAAGGTGTCCTTTATTTTAAAATAAAAGCACAGGAGACATGAATCACAGCGAAGCTATCTTCAGGGATAACTAGCAGTTAGAAAATTTAGCTACGAATCCATCAGGAGTCAATAGTGCTGAGGTATGTAGGCATCCAAAGATGTGGATAGATGCCTAGAACAATATTCAAAATCACCCGTATGTCCACCTTCCACTTAATTCCTTTCATTTCAGGCAAACTTATTTTTTCTGGTTCCTCCCCAACATCTACCAAAGTTTATTAGAATTTCTATACCTTATCTTAGATCATTTTGTTTTATCAGCTTCCTGATGACATAAGAGACATCGAGAACAGACTGGGAAAACAGTGTTGGAGGGCATGGAGAAGAGGTCCCTGCGTAACAGCATATTGTACCAAGAGCAGTGTTTACCATTTAAAAAGATAATTATTCAGGGAAGGCTTCCAGACCCTGGGGGGAATGTTTCTCCCCTAGGTTGTCATTTTCTTCTGGAAGCTCATCACATGATATCACCTATGTACTATGTCCTTCTGGACTCCACAAGAGGAGTAGGCACCCAGCCAGAGCTGAAGTGTCTACATCAAACTTGGGAAAAAATGAGGAAGCAATTGAAATGCCTGATCAGATCTACTCTGGCTGATTTTCCTGAAGTGAGCTGGGCAAGGTTCACATAAGACTCCTCTGCTGCAAAAGCAGTGGAAACAACGACCTGGCGCAGGGAGCAGCTACATTCAGCTGAGAGCAGCAACCTCTTATCTCAATTTTGCTGGGTATGGAAGAGGACATAGAGGACGTGTGTCCAGGACTTAAGAGTAGTCTTTTTGTTTTCTTTTTTTTTTTCTTTTTTCATACTCCAGTCATGATTATGTTAGCAGTATATTTAAGCAGACTACTGTTGCAACACAAAAAGACATTAACTTTTCGAAGAGGGGCACTAGAAATTCTGCCTATATGGGCAAATCCCCAACTAATGCTGGAAAAAACTGGCTTGCTAAACACTATTCATTGTGGTCCTTTCAATCCAGACGGTATTTTAAACATCCCCTAACACACTGGGGAGTGCAAAGGTAATATAAGGTCACCTTCTTCTTTGCTTTCTTCAATTATAAATGCTACACTTGAATTTTCTAACTTCCAAATTTGTTTATGTTAGTCTTTGACAGGACTATGGAGGACTGTTTACTTTATACAACAGTTCGAAGATGTAAGACATTATAAAACTTATATATTTAGAGTTTAACTTAAGCATCTTAAATCAGTCTGAATTTTATTAATGATAGTTTGTATGTTGTGACATATAAAATCATCATAAAACCAGGCATTTCTGAAGTGCTC